TTGTAAGATGGAAAATAATCAAATAAATAAAATTGCAAATAAGATATAATTATATATTTTCTTATAAAAATTCAAAAATTTCTTTTAGTCATAGGGAAATGTAGATACTGAATGATATCGTAGGGTTAAGAAAAATTCGGTCAGCACCGATGCTTTCGTAAGTAACAAAGAGTTAAATCGGATGGAGATTAAGGGTCGAGAGGAAAATATAGATTACTTCAGTAGAGAGTGCAATTGTCTTTAATATCACGGACTCTGTCGGACATAATCAAAGATCGACCGATATTCCGCAACTCTTTTCTTCCTTCCTGCCCTTGTTCTTTCGGCGCTCCAATTACAGATCCGCAGATGATATATATACCTTGCTCTATATTTTATATATATATATATATATATATATATACATATCTACTATACGATCCAACGACGTGCGAACACGGATGTGCGAATCATCGTATCGTTCATAAGAGAGTCGGAACTTAAATTCCGGAATAATGTTAGGAAAATACGAGCGTGTTTCTCGGAGCAAAGAGGCCACATTTTCCTTTTCTATTGCGGCACATTCTCACCCACACGAGCAATGCCGAGAGTCCCGCGAACAGTATCGCTGGACCGATATCGCGACAACATCTCGACAACGCCGATCGCGAAGGGCCCGAATAAATTTACGTAACGAATGACGGAAGGGGGAGGGAAAGCACGCGAGCCGCGGGCGTGCGCGCGATGAGTTTGCAGATACACACGTGCATGCCGAAGCACGTGTCGCCGTTGCTTCGCAAAATAATGCTAATAACGTAGCCGCGTTAAGTTCTTTGATTTATCGTTCTCACGCTAACAGATGTCGTCCACAAACATTTACGATGGCAGGAAATCGTGATGATGACTCATGCAACTAAACGAGTATCTCTCATGATCTCGGGATACTCGGGGGATCCATTTCGAGAAAAGATCTTCGAATGTCCGGGATTAATTCGTTTATTCCAGTGGAGACGAATGAAAAGTATACAAGTCGTAATAGATTGTATGTAAATATTCTGGCTTGAAAAATGTATCTTTATTAGAATAATTTCTTTCTCTCATTCTTTTTCTTTCATGTTATTTTAAATATTCTACACATATCGTGACAATATCGTAACAATGTACATTGTAAAAACATATATTGCAAAAACGTACGTTCTATAAATAGTGTAAAAAAAAGGGAAACATTATTCATTTCGTAAGAAATGTACAAGTTATTTTTATAATTGTAATAGTTCTAGCATTAGTATAAATGCTAGAATATTGAAATACCTGTGTATATATAAAAAAATATATTAAAAATAGGAAATAAATAAGAAATGATAGAATATTATTGTTTTTGAAATGATAATTTAATAATACCACTTTAAATTGCAAATTGAATTTTATAACTGCGATTTTAATCGAAAATTCTTATTCTAAAATTTTTTAATACAAGATTTTTTTTTTTTGAAAGTAGATATACAAGATGTGAAAAAATTGGCTTTCTGTGTACATGAGATCATCCAACTCAAATGAGACATTTTCGTTTATGAGAAGGAAGTGCAGGCTGTCATCTATGGGTCACTCGCAAAATTAAACTGTTCATTTGCTGGAAGATAAGGAACATTCACAAGGTAAAGAAAATTGTCGATAACAAACTAGGAGTCGATAACGTCTGTTATCGAAGCACGATAAATACATAGATTGAAAAATATTGAAGTTATTTTTACTATCTAAACGTAAAAATGATGTGCAACAAGAAATATATGTTTTGCGCCATGTGCACTAATTATAAAAATGTATTGAATGATTATTGTAATAAATTAAGAATTAAAGGTTGGTTTGTATCTTTGCTCCAAGTGGTATCGACAACTCTACAGATATGATAAGCTCAGAACTTGCTTTATAAGATTGGTCACGTACATATCATTGAATGCAAAATTTAATGATAACGAGATACGAATGCGTATCATTTTCCTGTTGCAAATGATTCTTATTGGCTTATTATTTTATATAAAACTTTTAAGATTACAAAGCCGCTAACTGAATACAGACTCGCAGTTAAACTGAAAACACATTCGCACAATGCAAAACTTATGACACAAACTCTGGCCCATCGTACCATTGTCACATCCGAAGAAAAGTACGGAATTTGATTAATAAATTGGTTATGAGATTGATATTAGACGAATTTAAATATTTAGCATAAATTATCTCTCGATGTGATATATTTTTACGTTTTATTTCTGTAACCCAGATGACAAAGGGTTGTTTAAATCACGATTATTCAGGTCGTATTCATCATAAATAGATTGAGTTACATTTAATCTCTTTGTGTTGAGATAAGATTCGAGTTTCAAACCGTTTTGATGTCCGGTAGAGTTACGTGTGATTAAAAAGAGATCGCCTATACAACATGTATATTTAAAGGACATCTTTGTTAAGACATTTTTGTAATAACTTTATAAGACGTAAATTTTATAATGTCAGTAGTACAAAGAGAAACCTAAATAGAGAAACTTAAAAAAGGTAAGACTTAAGCGATAAACAAATTGGCCAATCGAGACTTGTCGAAAATATAAATCTACTATTTTTAAAGTCTCGGCTATAATTAGTTGGTTTACGACGTACTTAAATTTTATTTCTTACGTTTTTCTATGTGCCTAAAAGACATCCTATAAGACGGTTTAATGTTGTCCAGGTAGTCTTGTCGTTTCCATGATGGACTTGTTTCTCGAAAGATAATCCACGTTTGCTTCCCAATCCAGGAAATAATTTCGAATACTTTGAGTTTGTTTATTAATAGAAATAATGCGTCTGTGATAGAAGAATTTGTCTCTGTATATCTTGCACTGTTAAATTCGCGTCAAATTATATTCAATTTCAGTTATTTGTAACCATTTTTATAGATCGTCGCTGCTTTTTATTCAATATGTCTTTAATTTAACCAAAACAATGTTAATTGAACTAAACCAATGTCAAAATAATACTTTTTTGTGTTAAAATAATAAATTTCGACATACACATGTCAGTTAATAATAACAAAATGTTATTTAACTCAAGGTATTTAAATTTTATCCTTTAATATATTTAACAATGTGTAGAAGTGTCTTCACAGTGTCCTTTGAAAATGGGTCAGGTCTTTATCTGCGATTTTGCAATGACCGAATTTATACGGCGATGAAAAAAAAAAATGTTTCCGCCCGGGATCGAACCGGGGACCTTCCGCGTGTTAGGCGGATGTGATAACCACTACACCACGGAAACTAGTTGGGAGTACGGACTTGCTGCACGTGCTTTTGTGGGACGATATCTCTAAATTATCTGGGACACACACACCGCATCTATGTTATGTGCTATTATACAAGAAAAAATGTTTTTGCAGCATACTTTTTTTGCAAGAACGTCATCTAAGTTATATGATTATGCTATTACGACTAAAATTATCGACGCTTGTTATTCTGCTATTAATATTCTCATTTCCTATTTATTGAGTCATCAATGTCTTCGACGTTTTCATGTTCAAATGATTCGAAGTATACAAAGCGGCAAAATAAAACGCAAAGAATCGCGAATGCTGTAAACGCAGGTTTCGCGAAAATAAAATCGAGATTGGCGGAAAGTGTTAAAAGCCGTTCCGTGATAAGAAATATCGTGCAATAAGCGATCAATCGAACAGGTATCTCTCGAGCAGCTGATTCCGTATCGGTCGTTAGTTTATCGCCGATTAAAATCGACTGGCTCTCGTAAAAAAATATTGCTCGTATCGCGATCACGCGTATGCGCTTCGTCAGAATATCCGTGATGCGCGCGTTTTTCGATAGAACCGCAACGATGCGAATCGGAATGAGTGTTCCACCATCGTTTCACCGTCGATTCCATCATCGACCGTGATACAACTCGCTCGGCTTTCGCGCATAAATATCATTCCGTTCTAGATTTCGCAATTCACAGCGCTTATATCTACAGGTTTTATTTATAACAGCGGCGATTGGAATTTTTTTCTACGCAGAACGTCACGTGGTCTCAGGAATCTCAGGACGTTATATGCGAGAAACGAAGTTGCTAACAATAAGATTGAAGCTAGAACGAAGTTGGATTTCGGCCCAAGAGATGAATGAAAGGAACAATCAGAGTTTCCGCATTTAAAATTTATTAACGCTAAATTTTATCGTAATGAAAGCTTATTTCATACGAGGTTCGTTACGCTGGCTGGTTCTGGGAGATCTTCGAATAAATCCGTTTCATAGCGTGTTTGAAGTGAACAATTTGAGCCTCGAATGCACACATTTATTTCCAAACTGTGCATAATGAATATAATATAGAAATAAAAGCTTAATCCTATTCTAGACGAGCTGTAATTCACCTCAGATTTTTCAGGACAGGATTTTATTTGTCGTTTATAATTTTATGATACGTATTTCCGATTTTGCGAATGTTGTTCGCGTGAAATCGTAAACTTCTACCCTGAATTTTCCGATGTAAATTATAGATCGTCTAAAGTAGGTTTAACGGGAAAATTCTGGCTTGCAACTCGACCTGGGCCTAATTCCGACATTATGAATATGCGATAACGATACTCTAGAATGTTTACTCGTGACAAGATAAAAATCTCGGTAAACTATATAAAAAACATTTTTAGTTTACCCAGTCGGAGATACAGTTATATTCTATCGAATAAGGTCTCGAACCTTTTTTATCATATTAAAATTTTTCGTAATCGACTAGGGCGCCGGATAAGTTTTATTTTTGCAAATCATATAAGAATAAAATATCTCCATTTTAAGATTAATAAACAACATTTCATGCGCCGGATAAAACTTCAGTTCCTATTCTAGACAAACATAAAAGTGTTCGTGCTTTCCAGGAACCTCTCGGAAAATTGGACAAAGACGGGTCTGTGCGACACGCAATGGAGAACGAAACGCGATTGGTCTGATTGGTCATCGTGATTGTCGCGCCAGTGTGTGCGCACGTGTACGTGCACGCTGTCGGCGGATTAGTCGTCGAATTGCGTGTGAACTGCGCGGTGCGGCGGACGTCACCGAGTATTGCCGAAGCCACGAATTGCGAGACGGAAAGAGCTGTTCCTGCTGAAGTGGCTGAAGTTGCAGCCGTTGTCAGCGATTCGCCGTCCAGCCGTCGGTGTCGATCGTTCCGGGAAAGTGCCGTTGTTCAGTGATTCACGCTGCTTGATGTTCGCACGGCCAACCACGCGATAAACCAACTGCGCACATATTTCGAAAACGCCTTTGGACGGAGTGACGAGGCGACGTGGAAGCATGAAGGAGATCCTGATCGCGCTCGGCGCGATTCTGGCTGGTGAGTCGAGACGTCGACGCCCGCCGTTTCCCATGTGTCCGTGGCTTTTTTTCCTCCTTATCCCGGCGATTTCCTCAACTCGTGTATCTTGCGTCATCCCCCGTTTTACCTTTGTCGTCGCGACAATCCCGCTCCGATGCGCACTTCCTTCTGGAACGTTGTTTTTTGTTTGGCATCGCGTGCTTACGCGCACGTAATCTATATTTGTACCTCGGCCTCGTAAACATTGTGACGGTTGGCTTTATCTGCGTGCGACCTTTAGTTCTTGCGAGCGATTTTTAGTGTCCAGCACTCCAGTGCGATGCATATGACGGCGTTGGATTTAATCGATTCTGTTTTTTTTCCTCTTCCGTCCGTGATGGAGCAGATGGAGTACTCTCGGCCGCTCGGCGTTTTCTCGGCCTCCCTCTCCCTCTCCCCGTGGACATTTCTCTCGCTCTTTTGTTATTGCGCTCTTTCTGTGTCTCGCTCTCTCTCTCTTTCTCTCATTGCCGGCTAAATCACGTTTCTATTACTCATTGCAAAGGAACTTTAGTTACTCTAGGATGAACATGGATGACTCAGTTAATTTGAGCTTGTAATTTGTTAATATAGGTAGAATGTACGATTCTTTTGTGGAATGTTGCATTGCGGATTGCGATAATAACAATAATAATTGCTCATAATAATGCCGATAACGCTTATCATCGAATGATTTATGAGTGCTTTCTTGTAAGATGAGATTGTTTCAAAAATCCATATTGTTGAGTCGCTCATGCATTTCCATAAATATACTAACTCTAGCAGACATCGAAAACTATGATTGAGGCAACAAATACTTCCTGCACTAAAGATTATTCACCGTTGCGAAAAGTTGAAGATATTATTCTGACAATGAGACTTACCAAGCGCTTTGTTTTTTCACTCTAAACTCCTTGTAATATTCAGCTTATAAAGTTAGGGTTGAAAATTACATGAATGTAATTTTTTAATTTTCACTAGTTGCAGCCGGAGTGGTCATAACTGCTGAACCGAAAGATGGTCTTTTAGGTGTAGATGAATGTACGTGGGGTCCGAGTTACTGGTGCGAGAACCTAAAGTAAGTTTTAGTAATTTGTATTTAGAATCTAAAATATTTTTTCTGTATATTGAAAAAAAAAAAGATGAGGTTGATTTATAAAACATATTTAACACTGCGCGGCGGACACAGTGGCCTTTTAAGGCACAGTCGATTTTTCATTTGATTCCCACGGGAATAGCTTCAGCGCTGTGAAGCGAATTGCAATAGTTCCGGCCCATGTAAATATAGAAATCACTTTTTGAATCTTTAAAGATGATACATGAATTTGTATAGATTTTTTGTAACACAGAAACATTTTCAAAAACTCTTTGGACTTGAAAAGTCCCAGGGTATCCAGGTAAGTGCTCCAAAAACACGGTGTCCGCGTAGTGTTAAAATACATTTTGTTACATATTTATAATGTATATGTTTATTAAGTAGACAATAATAATAAGACATTATTTTAATTTAAATTTTTATAGTTAATGTAATATTAGAATAATACTGATTATATACTATTGCTAATAATAGGACAGCTAAGGGATGCAATGCTGTCAAGAATTGTATTCATAAATACTGGGAGCAGATGGAAGTTCCAGAGGATAATGATAGTGTATGCGGAATTTGTAAAGATATGGTGAAACAGGCGCGAGATCAATTGGAAAGTAATCAGACTCAACAAGACCTGAAAGATGTCTTTGAGGGAAGCTGCAAACTGATTCACATTGAACCAATTGTTGATGAATGTATCAATATTGTGGATCAATTTATCCCCGAGCTTGTGGAGACATTGGCATCTCAAATGAATCCATCTGTCGTTTGCTCTGTCGCAGGACTCTGTAACAATGCTCATATTGATAAATTGCTTGCACAGTATCCAACTCCAATTAAGGTAAGATTCAGCTCTGTCTTGTTTTATCACATCACCTTGAGTGAATCAAATTTCCAAACTGGTTTAGTTACAAATTAATATTTGTTCATCGCCAATTACCTTAGGTTAAATTTATGTTTCACAGATTTTGTTTTTATTAAAGTAAAATATTTTTCCACTTAAATTCTTAGTGTCGTATACGTGACGAGTCTGAAAATGAAATCTTTTGATTGAGAAGTGATTGTTCTAAACTGTTTCAGATTGAGTTATTCAGCATCTTATTTTCTGTTTTTTTTTTTGTTTAATAATTCAGTTATGTCAATTGTCATCAAATAACTTGACATTCATATATGTTATATCTATCGCCCTCGAGTATTTTTTAACAATTTAGATTAGATTAGTGGAACTTAATCTACCGTAAATAGCGTTCAATAACATTCTCACACATGCCTACATATTCATTTCGTTATTTAATTAATTATCCCAACAATAAAGTTTAAAAATATATCGAATTTTATCTGTATGTTTGTAAATAACGGTGGATGAAGAATGTCAGTTATGTATCAGTATGATTGGTAAAATGACTTGTTGATAAAGAACGTGTGTTATATTTTTAGAAGGCCGAAACAAAGTCAGTTTTATTAAAGAATGATGAACTCGAGCCTGACGAGTGCACTAAATGCTACACAATAGCAAAGTATATGGAAAACAAATTACATCGAACTCCGCAGAACACGATGCTCCTACAATTTTTGAATATTTGTGGTCAACTTAGTTCTTTCTCAGATTCCTGTTCGGCCATTATTATGACTCATTTTGATACCATTTATAACCATCTACAGAATAATTTCAATGCTGATAACATATGTCACTTGTCGGGACAGTGCAGCGGCAAATATCATAAGCATGAAAATAGTACAGACGTGGTAAGTATGTTAATAATATTTATTGCGGCTAAAATTTATTCGTTAATGTATTGTTATTGATAACAGGTTCCAAACGTAGAGATAACACCACTGTCAAGTGTAGGCATGGTAGAAGTCGAAGATGATCTCCCGTGTAAGTTGTGTGAGCAACTTGTTGGTCATTTGAAAGATCTTCTAGTTGCAAACACAACGGAGTTAGAATTTAAAGAAGTTCTCTTGGGCCTTTGTAAACAAACTAAATCTTTCGCCGACGAGGTTTGTATTTTAAATAAGTAGTCACATATTATTTCATATATCTAGTACTAATAAAAATAAATTTTCCAGTGTAAAGCCATAGTTGATGAGTATTACTCGCAAATTTATGAATATCTTACAAACGGCTTGGATAGCAATGTCGTCTGTCAAATTTCTGGAATTTGCCCTAGTCCTGGCAAAGCGATACAAGTAAGATACTACTATTGCATTATAGATAATAAAATATGTTTTACAGATTAAAAAATCTAGTTGCATTTATTTTACATTTTATGTTAAAACAGGGACCTATTTGGCCTTTGGTCCCAGTAGACGTAGCAAAAGTAGGATTGGGCATAATGAAGCAGGAACAACCTCAAAAAGATGAGGTTGAAGTAGCTATTGGCAAAGAACATCCAAAATCAGAAGCTGACGAGATGCAGTTGCCGCTTGAAAGATTAATGCCTTTTCCTTTACTGCAAGCCGAAAGTCTTAATGGACCGAAAGCGTGTACATTGTGCGAATATTTGTTGCATTATATTCAAGACACTATGACAAATCCAGTAACAGAGGTAATGAATATTAAATTTTATGAAAGCATATATATAAATTTATGCCATACACAACACTCATATTCGTAAATATATCAAAATTTAAGGAGAAAGTGAAAGGACTTCTTGAAAGAGTGTGTAAAAAGATACCTTCTTCCATTGAAGGCGAATGTCAAGAATTCATAAATACTTATGGGGATGCAATCGTGGCCATAATTGTCCAGGAAATAGATCCATCGCAGGTAATGGTATTTTTGTATTTGAAACATTAAAATTAATAAAGAGTATAATTTAATGTGTAATTTAAGGTTTGTCCCATGCTACGTATTTGCCCATCAGAGGAATTATTGAACATGATGGAAAAAATTCCTAAGCAGTTCACCATTACAAGTGAACAAGATAAGCCAAGTTGTCCATTGTGTTTGCTTGCAGTAACGCAGATTTATAACGTTATCAAAGACAACAAAACTGAGGTATTAGTTTGCAGTTTATCATGCTATGATTCTGTTTAACTATACGATCTATTATTTCATGCAATGTTAATGTTACAGGCTAACATTATAGCAGAATTGAATAAATTATGTAGTCATTTGCCACGTAGTTTGACCGATCAATGTACGGATTTTGTCAAGTCGTATAGTAGAGAACTTGTAGAGATGCTACTTGCAGACTTGACTCCTCAGGAAGTATGCGCCTTACTTCATTTGTGTGATCCAACCAAAGATGTTGGTCCAAAACCTGTCAACATTGCTGCGAAGGATGGAGAGATATGTTAGTTATTTCTTAAAGTATATATATATGTAGATGAGGAACAGAGCAATTTCTCAATTATTTTACAATAAAAATATTTGCAAGAAAAGTAACTTCTTTTTAAACATTTCAGTAACCAATGAGATACCTGAGTATCCGTTACGTATACTTCAGCCCACGAACTTTTTAGACGATGGTGTGTGTATAATTTGCGAATTTGCAATGCAATATATTGATAAAGCGATTGGTAATCAAAAGACACGGGATAAGATCGAAAAGGCAGTGCATGGTGTATGCAATCATTTACCAAAAACAGTTGCAAAGGAATGCAATAGTTTTGTCGATGAGTATGCTGACGCTCTGATAAGTATCCTCTCAGAAGATGTCACTCCTAAAGAGGCCTGTACCGTGCTAGGTCTTTGCAAAGTGAGCATGATACAGATTCAAGGTACAGTGTTAGAAATAATAATTTATTACAATTTTTGCTAATATTATGTGGAAATTATATATGTAATTTAATTACTTTTTTTTATAGAATCCGTATCTGAATGTGCCTTATGTCGAGCAATTATATCGCATATCGACAAGCTGTTAGGTAATGATTCAAAGGTGGACGCTGATATCGAGGCAGTTGTTAAGAAGGTGTGCAAGTATTTACCAGCAGATAGACGAGACAAGGTAATATTTTATTTTATGATTTCTTTTTAACGAAAAACTAATGACTTGACACTGAAATTTAAATCTGTACAGTGCGACAAGATGGTGGAAATTTACGGGCCGAGCATAATAAATATGCTGAAAGATCAAGTGGATAGCAGTAAGATGTGCAGCAAAATGGCTCTGTGCTCTTCCAGTGATTACTTTGCGATGTCATTTAAGAATCCACGTATATCGCGATCAATTGTTTCGTAATAAGTTTCGTGATTACAAGTTTCATCAGGTTGCGGGTGATACAAGCTTCAAATTGGAGGCGAACCTAAGAAGCGAAAGTGAGCTGATAAAGAGTGATGCGCTACGCTCCTTAATGTGAAGTAATCGGATTTCTGGAGATATTAGCCATATAGCGAATAGCCTATTTCATGTTATGATATTATATATATATCGATGATCTTTTTATTAAATCTCTCTAACTGTACTTGAGCACTCGGATAACGTTGATCTGTGTAGACACGACGAATGCCCTGCGAGTTTCGCACTACTTGTACCAAATGTCACGCGTAGTTAGCCATAAAGTTACATTGACGTAACGAAATTTGTAATTTTTAATATCGCTGCAAGAATCCATTTCTTCCGGCTAAGATAAAATGAGTTGTTATTTTATATAATCAAACCCGATATATTAAAAAATACGAATTCTCTCTACGTCTCTCTACGTGTTTCTTTTTTATTACATTCAACCTACAGCAATGATCTGTTAGTTTTAACTGTGATAATGGTAAAATAAAGAATAAAAAGGTATAATTTGATTCTGTATATGAATTGCGTATATTTATTTTATCTAGAATATATCCAGTTTTAGAGAGTATCGTTGTTGTTTCACTCATTAATGTTTTTATCTATTGATTCATTAACGTTTTCGGTACATTTGAGTGATTCAATATGCAAAACAGTAGTAAAATAAACCGCATAGGATCGTAAATGTTGTAAGCGCAAGTTTCGCAAAGATATCAAACTCGATGGAAAGTGTTAAATAAATAATGAGCATCCCGCAATAAAAAATTCGTGTAAATCGATCGAACAACAGATAATGTATCTTCGGAGCAGCTTATTTTTTATATCAGTTATTGGTTTATCACCGATTAAAACCACCTTGCTCTCGTAGGAAAAAAATTGCTTGTAATTGCTTTGTATGTACATATCGCGACCACAAAACGACGCGAATCGAAACGAGTAAAATGTCCCGTCATCGTTCCATTGATTCAATCATAAGAAATAAATATAATTGTGCATTCCTAAAAATGTATGATTAAATATCAGTATTGTTTAAATAAAGATATTCTCTCTCTTGTGCTTGTGGGATATTTTACTTGGAAAATTTTTTGTTCAATTTTGGACTGAAGAGTAGGCGCAGCGCAGTAGCCATTCTTTCAACTTTGTCATTTCACGCCTACCGTTTCCGGCTACCAGTTCAGCCGGTTTTGTGTCGAGTTTCTGTATCTAGATAAATCGTAAATCACAGCCGCTGCGCGCGCCGCTCCTCGGCTCGGCTCCTGTTGCGTGATCGTTGCACGACTCCACGACTGGGCACGACCGCCATATTAGTGGACCGTGCTGAGTTTCCGTATATGATTTTTTAGCGAGGTAAATTGTCTCGCGGGGAAGTAGCGCGTCTCGCGCCCGAACGCCGTCGCTCCGTTGACGGTCACGATCACGGAGCTGATTTAACCCACTCGTTTGTCGTCGCAGAGGAGCAAGCTATCGACTCGGCGTCTCGCCGTTTGAGCGCACCTCGTCTCGCCGAGCTTCGGATTCCTGCTGCACGTTGCCAAGATGATGTACACAGTAAGGAGCCCCGCGTCATCGGCGCGTTATTTCCTGACCTGATATTCGACCTCGCTTTCGGCGAAAATGCCGAGGGCATTTCGCGGTTTTCGTTCTGGCTGTTGAGAATGATTTATTGACCGCAGGAGTTTATTGACCGTTTAAACTTGTAGAGACGCGAACGGAGTAGAGCAAGATGTTTCTGTTTAACTTGAAAAATACTTTGCTCCGACAAATTTCTAATTCGAAGATTAGGAAAATTAGAAGCTTTTCAAGTGATATCGTGACCATACTCCATATTTTTGCTGAAGAGAGATCAATTTTTTATTCAACTTAAAGTAGTGAATGTTGGAATTTTGGAGATTATTAGAGATAATTTTTCATTTTTAGTTTCTCTCTAGCCTGTATTAAGAACTTGTAATTTTTTTATCTAACTTGTAAATTTACCTTTTCCACTTGTTTGTCTTTTCAGGGGACAACTGCTTCGCAGGACACCAGGTTCAGCGACAAGGAGAAGAAGCTTCTAAAGCAAATGAAGTTTGGAGACTCATTGACACAAAAAGTAATTAATAATTTTCATTTTTTTACATCATGTTTTTTATAGATTTATTTTAAATGTTTAATATATATTTGCTGTATCAACTACAATCTGTATTAGCGAGAATGTTGCAAATTTTTTCTCTCTCTGACAGTTAAAATTTTAGTATTTAAAAAGTTATTCTAGTATCCAAAAGTTAAATTAAATTTTACGAAAGTAAATTTAATCGCCTTTGATTAAGTGGAGTATTAAATTTTGCTGTTTCTCTACATATAAATTACATATAAATTTTCATTTGTTGAAATGTTTAGTTTTGCTACTGTATATTCTGCATTTATGATGTTTGTAAAATTTATGTTAAATACAACATGAATGTTCAACACATTTGTCATAGGTGGATATGAGCAAAGTGAAACTTGATGTGCTTAAGCCATGGATAACGACGAAGATCACGCAGATTCTGGGAATGGAAGACGACGTGGTGGTAGAGTTTGTGTATAATCAACTTGACGAGAAGGTAAGAGATGTGTTGCGCTTAATTCAAATGAAATTAGACAGTTTTATAAGAGACACATTTTTAGTACCACAACTTATGAAAAAGCAGTAATGTAGTAATGCAGTCACTTGGCTTTTTCCCCTCATCATTATAGGAAATCGATAAATATGCATTATTTCAGCACGATGTTTTCGTACAAATCGCAAGCGTATGATATCCAAACTTTGCACGACGTGCCGAGTTTGGATAACACAAAGTAATGAGGCAGATATTCTCTTAGCCATTTTGGCATACTTGCCGCATTGTTCTTTTTTTTATTTCCATAAATTTCATCGTCACTCAATATTTAAGTTTCATCGTCCCTCGTTTTTTAATCGGCCTATATATCCCTTTCCAAGCGTATCCACTTCAACAAAACAAAAAAAAAAAAAAGAAAAAAAAAAGGTTAAAAAACTGATCTGTAGCTGATCCTGCCACATTGAACTGTGTAAAATCAGTCTTTTATCATATGTGTTTGAATTCCCCGTTAGTATAAGTAGAGACCGTTGGTGGGGCCCAACCCTTTTGTCCAAATGGCATTCGGATGTGCTCCTCTCTACATCCGATTGGCCGCCTTTCTATCAGCCGTCAACCCTAATCAGTCAGCTGTGGCAGTTGGTATCTCAACAACACCTTAGAACCGCCGACAAATCTTCAGCTTCAGCAGTTACGTCGCCGCTGCCACCGCTGTCGCCGCCACTGCCGCCATCTTCGTGGCTACTGCACGTCGTCGACGTCAACATCGCGACACGTCGCCGGCATCTCCAGGTGATACTCTCATCACGTCACGCGTCCTGTCTCGCGTCCTTTTCCGGAGCCTGCCGATGTCTACGAGTCTCCTGCGACGGATCTGCGTCACTTCTGTTCTTGTAACTGCCTCAACCGAGGTAGTTTGTCATCGCGAGCCGTGGGACTTCGAAAGCTTTGCAGCTTTCGCTCACCCAGGGTGCTTCAACTTCGCGATGGCATCGTTTTTCCCGATCATCTCATCCCAAGGTGGCGTCCGCGTGCCAATACGATCCTCGGAACTTTCATCTGCCGCAAGCTACGATTCTCCGTTGGAACCACCAATGTCGAGCTCCAAGAGCATGGTCGAGCGCCAACCTGACGCTTACTTACCACCAAAACTCAGTTCGCGAAGGACTTCGATATTCTTCCGGACGTACTGTCGGTCACGCGTCGGCATGATTGAGGCGAAAACGGCGCCCGGAGGTATCCCTACACATGGTTTGACTCTTTGCCACTGTCACAGGTTGGTGAAAAGGTTGATCCTTTTATACCACATTATCTCTCCGATTTTCAGGCGGACATTTTCGCCAGATATCCGATATGTATATGCTTCTCTCTCGTTTCAGCTCACGCACCTTAGCGGTGTAAATGTTAATAAAATCAATGAAGGGTGACGAGGTATCGGTCTATTTTCTGCTACTTGCATTTAACATAATTCTTTTTTCTCCTCAGCATGTAACTATTTAATGCAGGTACGAAAGAGTGCGGTCGGCGGCATTGGTGGTAAGGCACGCTTAGATATAGAATAGTTAAATATCTGCTTTTTCGAGGGGGAAAAGCAGTTCATAACAGAATAGGAATATAGATTATCTGTCAAAATTTTAGTAAAAATTTAACACAGTTTACTTTTATTTCATCGTTAAAATCTGTTTGCACAAAGACTTTTTTCGTTGTTCTTATGTACAAAGAATTAAATTTGTACGTTGTATATTTTACAGTTCCCTGACCCCCGAAAAATGCAGATCAACCTGACAGGCTTTCTCAACGGTAGGAATGCCCGTTCTTTCATGTGTGAATTATGGGACCTTCTGGTCTCTGCTCAAGAAAGTGTTACGGGCATTCCCGCGGCATTCTTGCAACAAAAAAAGGATCAAATTAAAAAAAAATTGGTAATCATCAGTTTTTACCTTCTATGTAATAATCGAATATCAAGTCTCATAAGCACATGCAGCATAACTATTGTTAAATATGGCTGTCGGATATTATTGCGTGTAATTTTCATTTATCAAATATCGATATATTAATACATGAAACATTTATGTGGTAAATTTTATTGCACTTATTTCAGATAATAATCATAATAATCTTCAGTATCCGATAGTTATATTTAACATTTGTATGTGTGCAAAGTGCATACATGCAGCTTTACAAAAATAGATTGGCTCATCACGTCCTTGCAAAAGTATTGCATGAAGTTTCTTAGAAATGAATGAACAATTGAATCACTATATTTTGACAATCAGTGAAAATAACCAAATGGATGAGATCAATTTGAACTTGGTTATTATATTTAGTTGTAAGAAAGTGATATTTTGTAAGTAATATTAGTTTATGTTATGTCATAATATATCAAATTAGGAAGAGCAAGAGAAGCTTCAAGCATCGTTGGCGGAGAAAGAGAAAGAAAAGGAGCGTGAAAAGGAAAAGGATGACGCTGATAGTAAAGTGAAGAAGGAAGAGAAAGATAGAGGCTCATCGAAGGAACGTAGAAGAGATCGAAGTAGGGATCGTGATAGAGACAGGTATTATCATCAAACAAAATATAGCTTTTAAGAAACATGGTTATGTGTCATATCACTTATCTTACGTTATTTTATATAGGAGCAAAAGGAGTAGATCGCGGGATCGACACAGAGATCGCGATCGATCGAGTCGTAAGAGAAGATCTGTTTCGAGGTCGCCGAGTAAAAATTCGAAAGATAACGGAAAAGATATGCTCGAGGTTAAGGTCGAACGAGAAGATTCGCCGCAACCGGACAATGCTATACCTCTGATGCCAGTTAAAACCAAGCCGTTAGTAAACTCAATCATATTTATACATTACTGAAATACATATTTTATATTATAAATACAATTTAAATTTTATGTATTTGCAGGGAAGCCGCAGTAGCAATATCAAGATTGCAAGCCAAGTTGATGAGCATTGCTGATGGAAAGAAGAAGAACAATCGCACACCGTCACCAGAATCGTTGGAAAAATCAGCAAGGAAATCGCGATCTGGATCGCCGTTGTTTGAACCGAGTCGTTCGAAGAAATCTAAATCGAAGTCACCTAGTCGGGATTCGAAGACACGTCGATCACGATCGCCTGTTTCGAAGTCGAGACGATCTCGTTCCAAGTCGAGATCTAGGAGATCTCGATCTAAATCCCGGAGATCGAAGTCGCGCTCGCAGGACCGTACCAAGTCCAAGCGGAGCAAATCCAAATCGCCGAGATCACGATCACGATCGCGATCCAAGAAGTCTCGATCTAAGAGCGAGGACAGAAGCAAGTCGAGAAAATCGAGGTCCGACTCGAGCGACTCGAGATCCTCCAAGTCCCGCTCGAAGTCTCCGGAGAAACAGAAGGACACTGGAGAGTCCAATAGAAAACGCGACGGTAGTACTAGCAGCAGCTCTGAATCCGAGGAGAAAGATGCGAAGGATAAGAACGACTTCGAGATACGAAAGAAGAAGGATGGCGTGCAAGCTAAAAGATCCTACAGGAAAACCAACAAAGATGATAGTGGCAGTGATAGCGACTCTAGTCGGGAGAGAAAATCCGCTCCTAAGCGAAGAAGTCCTTCGCCGCGTAAGGATAGGGGTCGATCTAAAGACAGAGACAGAAACAGATCACGAGATAGATCACGAGACCGATCGCAAGATAGATCGCGAGATAGATCACGTGAAAGATCACGAGATAGAAACCGAAGGTAAGATTTATAAACTTTTGATAACAGATTTAATCTTTAAATGTAAAAAGCTGTTTAAAATATATATAATTATATATAATATGTTGTTTATAACTATTACACACAATTTTCCTTGTATTATCAAGAGACACGGTTTATCTTGCACCAAATTAAGCACAGTAAATTACAATGCGATAATGTTCACCATATACCTATCTAATCTTTCTGCGCCACAAAACTTAAGCTTAATGACGACAGTTTGTATGAATTTTCGATGTTTTTTGTCTTTTTAGGAGATCATTGGACCGGGATCGCGATAGGAGGCGGGAGCGAGAACGCGAAAGGGAGAGGGAAAGGGAGAGATTGGACCGATACAGCGGCAGCCGCAGCATGCGACCACCTTCGGTGCGCAGACCGCCTAATAGGCGCAGGTTGGTGTTCTTTTTTGTATACTAAATAACTTGATTTTTGCATTTTGTGCATAAGAAATTGTTCTAGCAGTCCACCACGCAGAAGTCCGGCGAGATATCGTCGTAGGTCACCGAGCCCCGAGGACAGACGTCGCAGGAGATCGCTGGATCGTCGAAGACGGTCATCGGAGAGACGTGACAGGCGCCGTTCGCCCGATCGACGTGGAAGCCGACGTCGTTCGCCGGACGGACGGGATCGATCGAGCAGGTACGATAGATCTTCCTCACGCGACAGATCGAGTAGGCGGGATCGCTCCAGAGAACGACGGGATAAGGATCGTCGATCTAGATCTAAGGATCGTAGATCGAGATCTAAGGATCAGAGATCATCGGTGGATCGTTCGAGAGACGGGAAGCGGTCTCCCGACCGTGCCAAGGGTACCAAGGATAAGGCAAAGGACAGGAAAGTGGATGAGAAAACTAAAAGACCGCCTGATACAGGATCGCGAAAAGAATTACGAAATGGCCGGTCTAAGTCGAGTAGCTCGGAAAGTAGCGAGAGTAGTTCCTCTAGCAATGAGGACGAATCACTTAGGTGAGTGAGATTTTCACTTTGAACATGATACTTTCACGGAGTCTACGATCGGTGGATAATAATCGATGGATACTCGGTCGTGATGTATTTGTGTGTGCGTGTTTGTTGAATAATGTTTTACAGAAAATGTGCTTGCACTCTGTGTCTACAGAAAATCAATCGAGCGCAAAACGCCGCAGGAGAAGCGAGAAAGAGAACGTGAACATACGGATGATGCCAAGAAGAAAGAGAAAGAGAAAGAGAAAACGGTGAAAGAAGAACTTGCTAAGCGACCGGAGAAAGAAATTAAGAAGATAGAACCTGTTGCTGCGAAAAAGCCCGAGCCCAGTGTTTCCCCCAAGAAACTTCAAGCTACTTCACTACCTGTTACCAGACATAGAGTAAGTTGTTTTGATTATCAAGTAAATTAATAGAGAGATTTAATTTTCTAATATAATTATAATATCTATAATATAAATACTTTATTATATTAATATAAGGTGCACATTTTGTTATAAATCCTTTTATAAAAGTTCCTTTTTTTTACTTTCAAGTTCTCGAAGAGTTTGTCGCGTACACCCTCGCCGTTCAAGAAGACCGAAGACATCGTGGCAATAGCCAAAATTAAAATGACAATTAAGTATGTAGTAAGACATTTGTTTAGTGAATAGTATTATATTCTCGTTACTACGATTATGTATATACTTTACTTGTGTTTTACTTTGATTGTGTTTTACTTTCAGAGAAGACACTAAGGACGAATCACCAATGAAAGTTGTAGATATTAATTTTACTGCTGCAGACGCTTTCCCTCTAAAGAAAGATGAAAAGTCTTTGAAAACAACGAAATTAGTAACAGAAGACAAAAAGTCTACTCAAAAGCCGTTGGAACCTCCATCGAAGAAACCTGTAGAAATGGCTAAAAAGACAAAGAGAGAAAAACGTGATGGTTCTACAGATAGTGAAGATAGCGATGGTGAAGGTAAAATATACATTTTAATAATTAGCTAATATATATATATATAATTAACACAACGTATAATAAATGTTTTATATAATATAATATTTCCTTTTTTATGTTTATTTTACAGGCAAAAGAAAAGTGAAAAAGATAGAAAAATCGAAGAAGTCAAAGAAAGCTTCGACGGATGAAGATAAATCTGATAAGAGCAAAGCTGGATCGAGCTCAGACTCTGAGGATGACAGAAAGCATTCAGATAAAAACAAAAAAGCTAGAGATACTAGCCGAACCGGTAAATTCTTCCTAAATAAATAATTGGCATATGTTTTGATGAAATACGTAATAAAATTTATATATAAATAATTTTTATTACTTTGTTATAGATTCAGTGGATGATCGTAATAAAGATAGAAAGGATAGTAGGAAACGCGAGGTTGCTGAGAATGATTCGCGAAAGCGTTCAAGAAAGGAAATAGAGGAAGAATTGAAAAAATCAAAAAGATCACGAAAGGACTCTTCTTCGGGTGAAGAAGAGCAGAAATCTAAAAGAAGTAGAAATGAAGATGATAGATCAAGATCTCGGAAATCAAAGAAAGACTCTAGTTCTGACGAAGAACCTAAAAAAGTGAAAAAGAGGAGGGAGACATCATCAGATGATGAAAAGTCTAAGTCGCGAAAGTCCAGAAAAGATTCGACAAGTGAAGACGAAACTAAATCAAAATCAAAGAAATCTAAACGAGATTCCAGCTCAGAAGATGATGAACTTGGAGATAAAGATTCGAAGAAGAAAAAGAAAGTTGACGACAGTTCGGATGACGAAAAGGTGAAAAAGAAGCGTAAGAAAAAGGCAAAAACCAGTACCAGCGAATCGGAGGTAACGTCTTTATTACAGACAACAAATTTATATTCCTTAAATATTCGTTAATTGAGTTTCTTGTTCTTCCAGGAAAGCGAAGTCGAAGAGAAGAAGAAAAAGAAGGAGAAGAAACACAAGAAGCACAAGAAGCATAAGAAGCACAGAAAGCACAAGAAGAAGAAGGTTGCGGATTCAGATGAATCTGATGTAAGTGAAGGTAATACGGAAGAACTGGAAAAGAAACTTCGGGAAAAGGCATTAAAGTCTATGAAAAAGGGACATAGCATTGAACGAAGTGATTGAGACTAACGTGTGATCTCCTTGAGAATGTGTAATGCGTGTATCTATCACATAGCGATAACATTTTAATTGTATTATGAATAGAATAACTTTCGTTTCTTATCAATAATTCGATTATTACTTTTTATCACTCAATCCCTTCGGAACAAGATCGAACGGTATTCATACTGTGAAATAGTTTTCGCATAAACATATTGAAGAAAATACGATTAATGTTCTCCTTCATCAAGATTTGTTAGAATTATGACTCATTTTTCTCGTATCAGTAAACAGTGTACAGATAGTATACTTATTCATATTGATACGAATATGTACGTGCTGATATAATGTAAAGGTATTACATGTTTTTATTTTTAAGAAGAAACAAAAAAATATTATATAATTTTTTTCGGACTTTAGTTGCTAAGTTGAAGTGAAATTAGGACTCGTATGCAGCACAGCGATTTCTTTGAATTAATTTGTATAAAGCTTAGTTTTCATTGCAGTGTTTAGAAAATAATAAAATAGCATACTTAAATGACAATGTTACAGCAACTTGTGTGTATAAATCGAAGAACTAGCAAAAACCCCCATTTGCAAAAACTGTGTGTTCCCGAATGATATAATCGTTTCTATTTTACAGTGACTCCTAATTTCTCCTAGACATCAGAATCGCCATACCGAATTTGCAGACGTATAATTTATTTAATAAATTGACGTAACTTGCTAGTATTAAAAAAATATATAAAAGCATTGAGAATTATAATTCGCATTATGTGTATTGTTCATAAATTTCCTACAACTCAACATCCTTTTGTATAAATATATTTAAAATAATACACATTTACAGAATCTTACGAATTTTCTAACACGGATTCCAAGTCTGGCGAACAAATTAATTTGTTATTCACTGGGCCAAGATTGATAAGATCACCGGTTTGTGATGCAGCGTCTATTTTTACAGCTAAAAGGTCCTGAAAAGTAATTAATTACTTGAAGGATTGCGATAATACTTTTGTGCTCGAATTACAAATTATAAAAATACAATTTTATACCTGTTGAAAACGTTGCTGCGCTCCAATATCGACAAAAAAACACATCTCGCCAATACGTAATCTCGTTTTACCCGATTTTAAAATTTCGAGTTTGCCTAAAAGACCATCTCTTAAACCTTTTAAGGTACAACGCTCGGTTTTTGCTTTACTATCACTACGAGTACTTGTATTTGGTTTTGATCCTGCTTCCTCTCTATTAGATTCCAGACCTGGCAGAGATTCTGGAAACTGTTGATCAATTATTAAATAATAGTTATAATGGATTCATATGATATTCTTACCTGTATTAATGTATAGGAATTGGCCTTGTTTTCGATTATTTGAGAAATTATTTTTTTAGAAATTGTGATTTCTTCCTTTTTGTCTTGCTCGCTTTCCTTTCTTTTTTCTATATTTACGGCTATGGAAGAAAAAAATTATATATGTATATGAGTTCGATAAGATTACTAAAAGAGGATATCTTAAACTTACCTTCACCATTTTCTGAGATGGTCGGTTTGTTATCGGTCTTGTCATTATCAGTCCCATCATATATATCCTTTTTAACTCGTGGCAGTGTAAGAGGACACATCTTTTCATCAGCATCAGTATAAGGGTCATCCTCGATAAAATCATCTCCTGACAGACTCTGTAATTTCTTCTCTTCTTCTATTTTATCGATAATCTTACTTTTAATTAATTTTGGTTTCACCAGACGTCTTGTAGCACTTCCTGTGCTACTGGAAGTTCTAGGACCATCAAATTTTCTAGGTGCGGTAGGTGCCGTATATATTCCTTCCGACCATACACCAACGGACTAGAAGTATAGAATAATCCTATTATTTATATTATAAAATTGATATTTATGATTATAAGATATTGAATACACCTAAAGAAAAACAAATTCACGTGTGATATTAAGTCAACGATCTGCCTGTATATATATATCTCGATTTGTAAGAGGTTAATTGGAGAGTTTAAAGATTGCGAGTAAAGGAATGAGATGGTAAATCATTTTGGAAATAAATAATGAACTAAAAGTAATATTAAATTAATAATATAAATAATTGATGAATATATGAGAGCACATTAGGCATGTTAGGCTAAAAGATATTCAAAATAGTAGCATTACCTGTATTATATTTGCTTTGTCTCCTCGTCCACGTCCTCTGTCACCTCTCCCTCGTTCCCTTCCGCGATCGCTGTTTCTCGATCTCGCCTGCTCGGTTTTGACCGAGATCGCTGGATCGCTGAAATCGAATTACCTTTAGCATTTAGACTATGTTGCAAATTAATTAAATAGCTTACTCCTTTTTCTTATTCCTTTGAACGTTGAGATTTGGCGTGTACACCTTCTTCGGTTTTTCAGTCTTAATGTTTCCACCCAGGGTCAGGTCCCGCGGCAGCCGGTAGGACGTCAGCCTCTGCGTGGTCGTGGGTAAGCCTGGCTCCATTTTGATGTTCGTCACCCTTTCCAAAAGCGACGAGGTCGACGGCTCCGACGATACAGACGTGCCAGGTTCTATCTTCACTCGCACGTTCGCGTGAAGGGCATCGTTCGAACCGTTTGAAGCCATGTTCACAGACGGTCTTCTATTTGTTAATAAAGCAGTACATACGTCCGTGTGCTCCCGTTTCCAAACACAGCACGATTCTCTTTCTTTTATTCTCTATGTTCTGACACGTCCATAGATTTATCTTTCAGGATTGATCAGCATTTTGTTCTGCAACAATACAATGCGTTCTCTCATCAGTCAGCAATTAACCTCAAATACTACCAAATTTAAAGCGATATTGTCGCAACGCCTCGATTGTCCGTCCGTCGAGAGGTTTGAGAAAAAGAGAAGAACTTTGCGACTGAACACTCGCACAATTAATACCTGAAGTTTGCATCGAGGTTACGCACAGTGCGAATTTCTTTATGCACAGTATTTTCCACGTGCCCTACCACGCTCGATGTGTTTAGCAGTGTTTAGCCTGTCTCTCGGTCGCCATGTTAGTTAGATCTGCTCTTTTTAGCTAAACTTTTTGCACGGTTTATATTTTCTCTTTTTCTCTCCAACGTGAAAAGAAAAAGAGGAAAGATGAATCGTGCAAGAAGTTCAGCTAAAAAGAACATCAGGACCTGTTATCAATCAAAGATCCAATTCTTTACAGCTGTACTTTTTGTACCTTTTATGCTTCTATTTTTTTTCTCTTTCTCTATAATCTCTAATTATGCATCTATTTCCATAGACTTAGAAAAACCAAAATGGATAGGAGCAATAAATTCGGGATGAAAGCAATAAATTAGGACTTAATTATGCCGAATTTTTTTTTAATTGCTTAATTTATGATAGAAAGATATAATATTAACTTTTTAGAATTATCCGTATATCTATTCTGTTTTAATTAAATATAATTACTGTATATAGAAATTCTGAAATTTTAGTTAAATTATAAAGCTATGATAATATAAATATAAGTATAACAGTATATATGCGTGATAGAACGTGTGAACAAATGGTACATATAAATAGCTCCAGAAACTTTTTTCACGGTTCTTTAACATATTGAAAGTATTAAAAAGTGAGATATTAAAAAGAAGTTCGGTGATAAGCTCTCTTCTAAAATTATGCAATTATAGTTTGTATGAAAACTTTATGTGTTAAACAAATAATTGTAATTGCATGATTTGATTCGATTTCCATCGATTCTAATCTATCAATTAAATTCCCGCCGATGTTCGTCAAAATATTTCTTTGGCCGGTATTCATAATCAGATCTTATTTCAAGACCGTCTTAAGTAATATCTTAAGATGCTAATATGATATCTTAAGATTGTACTTAAGATGGTCTTAAATATAAGAACCGACTATGAATACCGGCCTTTATTACGACAAGTTAGATCGTTTGCTGCGAAGTTCGCGTCGAGTTCGATATCGCTCGGAGGGTCGCAGCGGCGTCGTTCTGACAGATTTCGAATCGCGAAGTTCAGGGTGTTGTACGTCCTCTACGTCACACTTCGCAGGAGTCACGGGACGCGCGGCGTCGCGGATCCGAATCCGTACCGTATCTCTCGCGATTGTTTCGAGCAGAAGGTGAATTTCGCGCGCGAGGGACTCCTGCGGGTGCATCGGACAGTGTCGGGGGTGTCGTTCGAGTTAACGAGTCGATGAAGCGAAGTGTGCTCGTATATAACTTGTAACCGTCGCACCGGTCGCGCGCGATTTCGGTGTCCATTTTTGCGCGTCTGGAGCAACGCAATGAGATCCTCGTCGCACGTCTCCGCAGTCTCCACTCTCCATCAGCTGTTTTCTCGCCGAAGCGCATCGTAAATCTAAACAGCTGCCCGACTATCGCCAGGTATGTGCATATCCCTTTTGTAATTATATCATACTTGTGCGATCATATGAATGTCGAATATGTGGCAGAGAAATTTAGGGTCGCCATTTGCTGATTCCGCGCGTTGCGAGAATCGACGAATCGCCATCAAAATAAATCATAATCGTGATGCAAATAAGACTTTTAATTGAATCGCAATTGTTTTCATGTTTTAAGGTTAATTCTCCCTCAGATTAATGCCAGAATAAAAAATCAAACTTGCTTTCGATCGATTCTATATATTTTGAACGTCGCGTTTCATCTTTTTCGAGCTTTCCAGGAAAGTTACATATATTCAATGCTATTTTATTTATAACGAAATTTTTGTTACGGAAGACGTGTTATAGGCCAAAAAGAATTAAAAGACGGGCAGCTTTAGGCTGAGAAAAGAACCGAAGCCATCGAGCAACGTCGATCTATTTCGCCTAATTTGAAAAAGTCTCGTACATTACATTTCTCTCGACAAATATTGCGGCCGGAACGAAAAGCAGTTAGTCGGTACACTACTGATGGTAACGGAGAAATACCGTTACCTACCCACGTTAAATAAATATGAAACAATTAGTCGCTGTGTGACGCCTGACGAAGTCGCCGTGAAAAGTTTGTTTCTGCGACGAGAGAGACGGCAATCGTCAATCATCATGCGTTAAATTTCTTCATCGCGAATAAAGTACGACGTAATTAATATTAAGAGACATTTTTCATTACATTGTGATAGCAACGACGGCGCTTCACAAAAAATCAAATTCGCTTGTATGCGTTGATAAACAAAAATCATCCAGAAATATCAATTAAGTAAATTTTCAGAATAATTCGTGATTATATCGATAATTTGCATAAATGAATACATAAAGAATTGTTTATTAAATGAAATCTTCTCCAGTGATATTGATTTAAAGATTCGCAAACTAAAGATTTTACTTTAGAGCGCTTTTATAATCTGTATCTTCGTAAATTTTGAGAGAATAGTTTAAACTTTAAAGGGATAAATTCGAGTGATTTGCGATTAAGTTATCTTTCGCCGAATTAAAAAAAATATATATTTAAGAGAGATGTTTGATTTCTCTGTATAAATTTTCAAAACTTGACGGTGTATTTTCTTGCATCGCCTTCCGCGTCTGCTCGCGCTCGCAGATAAGCGCGCGCGGTATCTGCGGCGCGGCAACCTGCGGAAGACGGCGGCGTCGGCGCCGGCGGCGTGACGTTTTCAGGACGGCTAGTAGCGGCAGCGACATGGGGCAGGAGGAGAGCACCGTCGGCGCGGATGAGGTCATCGTATGGTTTTTTAGCCGCGCCGCGCGCCGGCAGTCGCGACGCGGAGCGCCCGAACGCCGGCCGCTGCTGCACGCGTTCCCGCTGCTGCCGCCGCCGCACGCGTTTAGGTGCCGAGCGAGCGGGCGAGCGAGCGAGCGAGCGAACGAGCGTGCGCCAGGACATGCGACGACGCGCCACGTGCCACGGCGCCGTGCGTTTCAGCGTGCCCGCGAGTTCACCCAGGTCGTCCTCCGGCAGGAGGTGAAAATTCGGAGCAAACCCGCTACCGGCATTCGAATATTGCCTCTCCTCCTAAATCCTTCCGCAACGCGCGAATCCCCGCGCCAGGGGTGAATCCCCAAATCCGTGGATTCCGCTGAGCGACGCACGATCTACGATCGATCTCGATCCCGCGCGATCAACGTGAGATGAGGGCCCGCTTGTATAGAACGGAAATTTAATTTATCTCCATAAATATGCACGTGGTGTTCGATAATCGGTATAACCATGGGAAAGTGAGTGAGTCCTGTCAGGGGACAAGGTGTTCCGCGAGGATTAACACTTCTGTTTCGAAAATAGCGCCACTTCGAAGTAATACGTTGCGAGCAGATTGTAGATTTTATAGAAAAGAGACATCCTTGCGAATTAAATTCTGACAGGAAACAGACCACTCTCCGACTTTGATCGACCAATTGTCCGCTCACTTTTATACCTAATTTCTCCACGACGAATATTTCTTTCTTTCTCCATGATGCGGCGTCGCTTTCACGAGAAACGTGCGTTGATAACAAGCTATACTTTAGATATATTTCTGCCTCTCGACGAGTGTAATTTGCATAGTGAAGACTTTCTTCGTGCTGACTGTCCTTTCTATAATCCGATACGATTATTTTCACAATGCACAGCTGTTGCGCGGTGCATACAGGACAGGACGCCGTCACGCATGACAGTCGTATTCGCGTTACCTGCGTGTCAGAAACCGGGAATTGAAACCGGTACAATTTCGGTGAGTTCACGTTTCCACGCCATATCGAAGTATGACGGTAATCTCTATATTTAACTGCAAAAATTGACGTAAGAATATACGTTTTCCGTATCTTATCTATACATTTTCTTATCTTATCTTACATAACATCGAATTCTTGACGTTCTTAAAACTCGATTCGCCGAAATTACGTCCGTTTCTTTTTATATCGGTATACAACATAAATTTGAATACAGTTCAGAATTAAGACTGGTGATTTGCTTCGAAGGCTTTAAATTTTGAAGCTTCGAAGTTCCGAAGGTTCAAAGGGTTTGAAAACAGCTTAAATTTCGAAGGTTCGAAGTTAACTTCGACGTCTCGAGGGTTTCGATATTCGAATTCTGAAGCTTCGGAGTTTCGAAAGATTGAAGACACCTTAAACTTCGAAGGTTTAAAGTTTCAAGTTTTCGAAGTTGTCAAAAGTAACCCTATTCAGAATCATTTCTTATTCGTTGCTATCGATACAATCCAACGTAGTTTCAGCTTGTGGCGTCGACGTTAGAACTCATCGAAATTAACGATAGTTTCGATTACTGATCGTGATTCTGCGAAAGGGAACGAATTGATTTCGGAGCGCCGTTTCTGACTTCGGCCGTATATAGAAGAGCGGATTTGAAGTTCGGTCAGCCGCAGCAGTTCTTAAACCTGTTCTGTACTCCCCCTCAGACATCGGATACATCGACGGGTTTTCGAGCAGCTGAAGTATCCGAGAGCGTGTCTTCCTGAAAGTCTTTCGCGCCGGGAATCTCTTCTTTCAGAATCCTCTCATTAGCCATCCCGTGGTCGCGGACGGGTTATTTCGCGCCTCCGAATGCGATATTTCGCGCTTTCCTCATGAACGCGCGTCGATATTTAAACATAAACGTCGTTTTAAAATTTTCGTATGTGAAGAAATATGGACAATATTATTTTGGAAATACTTACGCAATTATCTTTCGCGCGATTACTTTTCATTCATAATGTTTTGTAGTATTAGGATCATCATCACATTGGAAAAGTCAGTAGTGTGTTTGCGTTAGTAAGGCTAAAGATACGAATGTAACAATAAATAGATAATTGGGCTTACAGCTGACAGCAATGATTGTTCAATGTGTTCCGAAATGTCGACGCTGACATAACGTGGTTTACGTGGTTACGAATAGATAAAGATTGTGAGCCTTGCGCATACATATATTTCGCGATAAGCAGTTAAAAATGTCTCCATGAAATGTCGATAAAAATAATAATAATAAATATTGCTTGCAAGGTTATGATAGCGGCTTATATAAAAATGTTATGTAATAAGATATATTAGAAACTATGTAAATAATTTATTAGCAGACGTTA